GATATGTGAAAGACAGATACGCCAGTTCTCATGATTGATGTGTTTGATGAAATCTCAGTGCCCCAAAATGTTATGGAAGATCTCATTGCAGTTTAGTACAAATGATGTAATCCCATTCAGATGCCCTTAAGGTTGGTGAAGTAGGGAATTTGCCAAAAGGCCATCAAGGCCTGTGCTGTGATTGCCCAGCTGTAAAGCAGATTGCACACATGGGTGCGTGCAAACCCTTTTTTTACAGCCCTTGGCAAGAATAGCAGCTCTGCAAAATAGACAACCAGCAGTGCTTCTCCTTACCTGCACCCCATGGTAAGCTGGTATATGGCCAGCCTGGCCTTGCGGATCTCCCAGCATCCCAACCTCTCTGGTGCCACAACCTGCACTATCAAATCCCTGCCAGTGATTTGTATGTGATGAGAAAGGAGACCCTCCCACCAGCTCATTTCTCCAGCCTTCAGCTGGATGAAGGCTGAAGAAGGATGGAAGGATGAAAGAAGGATGGAAGCCACAAACCCTTGAGAGCTGAGCAAGCTACACAATGCGTGAGAGTAATCAAGGCAGGAGGTAGTGGGAGATTACAGAGAGAGGGTGAGCAGTGGGACCTTCAAAAGTAAAATGAAGAGATTGGGAAGGAGGGGGGAAGCAGAGAAAGGGAAATGATGAAGTGATGCAAAAGAGGCAGGACAGAGCAGGGAACAGGATGGAGCTAAGGAGGATACTTCAGTAGCAGCAGAGAGTGAAACAGGGTATTTTTAAAAAACTGCAGAGCAGGATAGAGAGAAATGGAGAAAGGGGAGGGGAGAAAGAAGGAAAGGGGAAGGGAAACCTACCTGGAAAGTGCGGTAAAGGGCAGAGTCAGAGTTGGAGGGGATGCAAGAGCAAAAAGAACAGAATGGTGGCTAGAGATGGCTTTCAGAGCACCAGCTAGGCTGTCAGTGTGTAAAGTGTAGCAGCGGCAGCCATGTCACTGCCATTTGGGGTTTTTTCCTGCTTTTTTTTTTTGCTTTTCTTGCCTCTTTGAAAGTTACATTTTAATCGTGCCGCCCGTAGCTGTGGTGGTTCGAGCTGGGCACATTCTATCAATCAGCAGCTTTGCTCCAGCCTGAGCTATCAGTGTGCTGCTCCTCAAAATGCACTGGAGTGTGTTCTGCATCCTAATCACCCCTGCATGGCTGAGATCATGGTGCCTCTGACCACAGGTAGCACAACTTTTAACATGCTTTACAAACAGGAGTGAAGGTGATTAGGCAGAGCTTTTATGGGCTGCTTCCTTACACACGTATGAATTAATGAGAGACATTGTGGGGGAGAGGCTTTGTTTGATTTCTTGAACCAGCCTCACTTGCAAGGGTTTTGTACAAGCACTTGTCATAACACTGCTGTGCAGAGCAGGGTCTGGGAATACAGAACAAACTCTTCCTGTACTCAACTACAGTTTTTATTCTAATATATGTATGTATATAAACCTCTCCTTATTGCATACATTCCATTATTGCACATTATATTTTCCTGAACGGGAATAAATTGCAGGCTTGCACCTAGTTCTCACTCTCTTTTATTGTTATTTTAAGCAGCAGGTAAGGTTATAATCCATCTGTGTTTGTGACCTTGAACAAGAATGGGCACTTTCTCATTTACATAATGCTATTTTTTACTGAGCCATTAAACTGCAGAAAAACAGGGCGAGCATGGAAAGTAGTCATCTACATATGTTTAAAAAAAATAACTGCAGCAAATCCAACTGGAGAAAGCAGACTTCTAAAAAGATGCGAGTGTTCAAGAAATTAAAAAGCAAATGGACTGTAAAGGCAGTTTTACTGCAAGCAAAACCTCCTAAAATGAGATCCTTGACAAATACCACTCTGTGCATTTGGTGCGCTGGTACTCTGCCTGCATGAGCACTGCTCCCCTGACAGTTCCTGCCTTCATAAGTGCGATGCTCCCCACTGCCCTGGAACCACAGCTCTGCAGCCCATGGCCTACGGGGCTCCAGTGTTATGAACCTGATTCCAAGTTTTGCCTGAGGGGAGAAAGCTTACAGTGCTGAGCTGGGCTGTTTGAATCACAAACGGTGTGTGCTAGCGCTGAGATATGAAATAGCCGCGACTTTTTCACATTGTGAATAACCATTACAGCAGGAGCTGTAAATGACAAGACACGGTGATTTGGAGGGAGTGAAACATTAGATTTACTGCTGTTGATTCAGTTTCTGAAATGGGCACTCATCTTGATCCATAGGCTTTCTGCAGCTTCTGGGGTATGTTTTATCAAGCTGTCACACTGACTCTTGGTTTTTTTGCTTGTGGGGATGTTAAGTTGTGCCTTACTAAGCAGGATTGTGACAGGCCTTTGCGGATGGGGTGAAGGTAAGGGAAACCTCACTGCAGACACCCCAAGGGCTAGCTGCAGCTGCACATGGCCAAAGTCTCTGTAGCTCATCCCCAGACTGAGCAGCCAGCGGTGTGCTGCCTGGAGGCCTCAGTAAAGCAGCCTCCCGACAGGGTGAAGGCTGGAGGTGACCTGTTGCTGAGGGCAGTGTATGCTCTGTCTCTGTGCTACACCCTTCTGATCTGAAGCAGTCTTCTTTAGCGCTTCAGGAGCTGTAACAAGCTCAGTGTGGAATCAGCTGTCATCACACTCCAGTATGCCATCAGCAAACATGGAAGCAGGATGGAGCTGGCAGTCCTGTTAGTGATTCACAGTGTACAAATCCAGCTCACCCGCTCTAGTTACCCCGCAGTGGCTCTGAAGTGAGCGGAGCTGCTGTCTGTCAGTAGCTGTAGGGTAAGAGCAGCTAGCTGCACAGCTCCCACTTCTGCCATTTTCAGTGCATTATTCATTTGTATTACAGTAGCTCCTAATGGCCCCAAATGAGATCAAGGTAACACTGGCTGGAGGCTGTGCACATAGTGTAAGACAGCTCCTAAATCCAAGAGCATCTAATCTAATCAGCTAGTGAGCTTCTGTATGGTGCAGAGTTTATGCCTTTGAATTCTCCCATGACTGCATGTGCTGTGCTTTCCTGGCCAGTGTGCTGCTCAACACAGCTTCTCCCCAAGTGGGAAACAACAGCAGAGTGCTAAAGCAACTGTCATTTGAGATGGATTTTAGTTTATTAAATGCGAAGCAGGTGAAATATGCTCTGTTGGGCTGTACTAGAAAGGCAAATAGTTCCTGATTGCCTGAGTCTTGGAACTGTGCAGCTTTTCCTGTGGAGACCTGACTGTTTGGGGTGGATGCCCACTTCCAGAATGGAAATTTGGAAAAGACTCCCTGTCTGCAGCTGAGACAGGAGAGTTGAGCATGGCCCTGTCTTTGCATATGGAAAAAGTTCACAGGGGATGAGCTTTCGAGCAAGGCTCTGAAACCCATGATTATGCTAATCCAATAACCTGGGGGCCATGGATGAAATCCTGAATTCATTAAAGTTAGTGACAAAATATCCTCCCCTAGGGACTGGGGGAACGAAGCAACTGGCAATCCATTATTTCAAACTACAAGCTGATTAATGGGGTAATTTGTATACAGATCGAGGGACGTTTTCTGTCCCTTTCTCCCAGACCCAGAAATATATCCTGACTTGAAGCTTCATTCGAACTTCACAGAAGAGATGACAGAATCCTCTTTATCAATGTATTTATTTCTAAGCAGCATTGTAAATACAAATTTTAATGGTGTTGAGACCTGCAAGGTCTATGGCCTCAGAAAGGAAATTGGTTTATTCTGGAACTTGTGCAACCTCTGTCATTTTTCACAACCTTTTGAAACAGTTCAAATTATTCATTACAATACGTAATTCAATAGTAAATCTTATTAGTGTATCAAAATGTTTGAAATACATGAAAATTTCTTTTTAAGGCTTTTTCTGGGATCATGGTAAATCTCAGCTGTCAGAAAAGGCAAAGCTCTGGGGAAAGAGAAGAGCTGAGTGATCCTTAATCATAGAATCATAGAATAGGACCTTAAGATCATCCAGTTCCAACCCTCCTGCCATGAGCAGAGACACCTCACACTAAACCATGTCACTCAAGGCTCTGTCCAACGCAGCCTTGAACACTGCCAGGGATGGAGCATTCACAACTTCCCTGGGCAACCCATTCCAGTGCCTCACCACCCTAACAGGAAAGAACTTCTTCCTTATATCCAATCTAAACTTCTCCTGTTTAAGTTTGAACCCATTACCCCCTGTCCTATCACTATAGCCTCTAATGAAGAGTCCCTCCCCAGCATCCCTATAGGCCCCCTTCAGATACTGGAAGGCTGCTATGAGGTCTCCATGCAGCCTTCTCTTCTCCAGGCTGAACAGCCCCAACTTTCTCAGCCTGTCTTCATACAGGAGGTGCTCCAGTCCCCTGATCATCCTTGTGGCCTCCTCTGGACTTGTTCCAACAGTTCCATGTCCTTTTTATGTTGAGGACACCAGAACTGCACACAATACTCCAGGTGAGGTCTCACAAGAGCAGAGTAGAGGGGCAGGATCACCTCCTTTGACCTGCTGGTCACGCTCCTTTTGATGCAGCCCAGGATACGGTTGGCTTTCTGGGCTGCAAGCGCACACTGAAGCCGTCCCATGTTCATTTTCTCATCAGCCAACACCCCAAGTCCTTCTCCACAGGGCTGCTCTGAATCTCTTCTCTGCCCAACCTGTAGCTGTGTGTAATAACTTGTAAAAAGCTGAGGGGTTATTAAAAATAACTTTTTAGGACATATTACTTCTATTGCCTTATGAAGTTACTCTCATGATGTTGTGGTCCTTACATTCCTGCATGCTTCAGGTTAACTGTACCTTTCATTGAATACTCTAGAAGGGAAGGGGAAGACAGTGGTAGAAAACTGTACACTCTGGGGAGTAGTGGGGAAACTCCTGTTTTATGTCCTTTTCCTAGCTGAAGCCAGAAACTGCCTTATTCTGAGGTCAAAGCTCAGCTGTCTTGAGCCCATCAAAGTTGACTTCCCACAATGCTGTTTAACTCTTTGTTCTTGTTCTTTCTCTCTCCCTGCAGTGTGATAATGACCGGTGCATACAACAACTTCTTCCGAATGTTTGACCGGAACACCAAGAGGGATGTGACCTTGGAGGCATCCCGAGAGAGCAGCAAACCACGAGCTATTCTCAAGCCCCGGAGGGTCTGCGTTGGAGGCAAAAGGAGGAAAGATGACATCAGTGTTGACAGTTTGGACTTTACTAAGAAGATCTTGCACACAGCATGGCACCCAACCGAGAACATCATTGCTATAGCAGCGACAAACAATCTGTACATATTTCAGGATAAAGTGAACTCAGAAATGCACTAGATTTATCAATATCCCTCTATATTTACAAACCAGCCTCTTGAGAGTTGTAGAAGGATGTGATCTTCACAAAAAATTGTGGCTTCTGTGGTGGGATTTGTAGGTTGCATCCTTTCATCCCTCAGCCTGTATCTTTATTGATGGCAAGCCAACTACTTCTAATTTTCCATCACTGCAACTGTATGAGTAAAAGGCACGACTGCAAATCCAGTACTGTGGTCTGTATTGGTTCCTTTAAACAAACAGGGGTATTTATTCACTTTGGGAGTGTTCCTGAGGAGGGCTGAGGCTCCTTAGCTCCCGTTAGTCTTTTCAAGGCTCTCAATGGCTCCCAGGGCCATACTCTTCCAGTGCCCCGCCTGCTTTTGCAGTCCACAGCATTTACCACATTGTTAGAGCTTTTTGCCTCAGTCTCTTGATTAATTTTTTCAGTAACATTTTCCTCTTTCAGCTAAGCCAGGCCTGTTTGGGTGAATGAATAGCAACATTCCTTTAGACTATGTGGCACACTGGGAGTGGCCTCATGACACTTATACCTGGAAGCAGAATCCCTGCCAGTGAAAAGCTGCCCTGTCTCACCTATCCCATTCCCTTCTTTACAACACCCTCTTGTTTATTTATTTATTCACATTGCTTTGTGCTTCAACTTCCCAAGTAAGTGTCAGACTGGTATAGTTACTCAGCCGGCTTACTTTAAGTAGTTTCTTCTCCATAGATCTCTTTGCCCTATTCAAAACAATAACAAGTACCTTCATCACGTGGAGGACTATGTAAAAACTTGGTATTGCCACTTCAGACTGGTCAGACACAGCCAGGCAGTTGATATACAAACCCATCCTGCCATCTGGGGGTTGGAGTTCTGGAAACCTTGGCTAGAAGTGCTGTCCTTGAAGGCAACAGTCAGCTTCAGTGGGAAGAAAGTTATGTCACTGCTAGACACTTCAGAAAGTCCCTCGTTTGTTGATTGCAAGTGTGGTTATTTTAGTCATGGCCTTGGGGAATACAGGCAATGTAACTGTAAAAGGAATGGTGCCGCGAGATGCAGCACTTGTCAGTGAATTTTAACACTTTTAAATGAGTCCACTGCTGGGAGACAAAATTATTCCTGGAGAAATATGAAACATAAAAAAGCTCCAAACCCAACCAAACCTTCCACATACATACTGTTAGATCTATCACTGGTTTAAAATGAGTAGTGATGGATAAATGGGAAAGTACACACAATTGGTGTTGCACATGCAGGAATGGTATGGGAACAGTGCAGTGGGCAGGGAGTCCTCTTAATCCAGTAAAAGAAAGTTCTGCTGCATCCCTAATAGCTCTGGCAGAAAAATTAATATCCCAAAGGATTTCTCCTCAAACCACGAATAAAAGAGCACAAGTCACGTGACCTGTTAATCTGCCCATGTTAAAACTCCTCAGAAAAAATAAATCTCTAAGCCATTATGCACTGATTTCTTGGTAAATGGAGAACGTACCAATGAAGGGATCTGCATGCTTTTATAATTTGGTTTGGGTGGAAAGGGTGAAAATCTGCTTACAAGAACTAATAAAACAAAGCTTTTATATGACAACACAACACATGAACTCTGTACCTTGGAAGTTTTCTAGATCAATGCTGTGTACTTCGTGTGTAGAAGCACAAACCCACGTGCATCACTTTCCAGACACACCAAACATACAGTATGAAATGTGTAGGTTCATTTGAAAGGGAATTGGGAGCGTTTATAAGACAGTATATGCTGTAGCAGGCATGGACAGTACATGTACACATTTATTCGAATGAAATTTAACAAAATTGCCTTTTCTTTTCCCCTCACTTGTAAAAAGGTTTAAGAATGTGGTAAATTGTATAGAAAACTTGTTAATGCCAAACTACCGCTTCAAGGGTGTCACAATTTCCTTGACTTTTGGCCTCCTCCATTAACCTTTGCAGCTCAAAAACAAGTAAAAATAATGCTGTCAGATCATACTGGCATTTACAGCTAGAAGTACTGTAAAACATATATTTAGCTTTTAACATTCTCAAGTTCTATAGATAACTTATTATAAAGCAGATCTTAATAAATACCACAGTTTTTTTGTTTTTAATTTGAAGTACCTTACTCTGTTACAGCTTTGGGTACCAAAAAGAACGTTAAAATTAAAGAAAGAAATATATCTTTGGAGCTTTATAGAACTAATGAAATGCCCAACCAAAATACCATGAAGTGATTATAGAGGAAATAAATAGAAACCTTTCAAAGACCAGTATTCCGTTCCTGCCTTTGACATCTCTACTGCAGATCGGTTTCCTGGTTTCTTGAATGTATGGAAAGTTAACATCGTCATTGTGAGCGTTTCCAACTTTTCTTTTTCTTTTTAATTTGAGCTTTCAGTGGTGTAGAGTAAGTGATGGTAAAGTTGGTAAAGCTGATTGATTGTTTTGAAAGCTGTTGTTCATGGCTGCATTCTTTGTGTTGCACAAATTAGCTGACTGTTGTTGAATAAAAATATAAATATGTTAATACCAGCTTTTTCAATAAAACTACAACCAAAAAGGCATAAATAGATGACTTCCAGACACAGCTTATTTTTAAGCTAGGCATGAAAGGGTTGTTTATCTCCTTTTAACAGAGGAGGAAGAGTCACAGGGATTGGGACTCACAGGACAAGATACTGCTATGTGAACCTAAGGTGGTGTGGCAAGTAGAGAGGTGAACACAGTGCCCAGAACAAGGCTAACCTGGGGGTTTAGCATTATGATGAGTGTGTGAAGACAGTTACAGCAGAACTGGAGATAACACTTTTGATTTACCCCTTGGACCAGCTTTTTCTCCTGCTCATAGCCTAACATAGGAGGTTGGAGTCTCAGTTTCCTACAGATTGAATGAGGGACATGTGCAACGTGAAGGGACACACACAAATATAGGGTAAAAAATGGCACTGGTGTCATCTCTGGCTATGTTGGGGACCTTCCAGCACAGCAGGCCATGAGGGCACATCTGGGATGTGTCCAGGCCTGGCCTCCTAAATAAGGCAGACATTGGCCCAGGTGACAAACCAGAGGGCTACGAGCAGAGCAGTGTCCCTGTTCCACCCCTTCCCCTCTGCCCCTGCTTCCTTTCTACCTCTACAACAGGGGAAAATAAATACATACATAAAGAGGTTTTTAATAAGAAGAGGAAAAAGTGGCACACACACACACACTTAGAGCTAGGAAAGCATTCACTTCCCAGTGATGCCTGACCCTCCCTGTTCATTGTGACGCTTGCCCTAGATTTTGGACTCTTCCTTTGAATCTCAGCTAAGGCTGAGATTATTTATATTTATATTCATATTTTATTTATATTTATAGATATTTATTTATTTATATTTATATATTTATAAAGCACCTATCACCATATTGATGGTGATATCACCTGTCTGCATGCTCTGTATGGGGCCCTGGGCTGCGAGAAACCACATGTCCATTAGCACACACGCTTTAGACACTGAAAGGCTGAGTCCTTTTCCTGGATGCAGACCAGAATAAATATGCCTCAGCTGTTAGGCAGTGTGCTGCTCTGCACAGCCCCCCCACAGTTTACATGCTAATTCCCCCCCCCCCCTTCTTTGGGAAGACACAGTCAATCCCACTCATTTAGATGGACAAATATGGCTAGGCACTGAAGAGCGAAATCTCAGCTCAAAATCAACACTTCAAGCAATGCCCTATTTACCTTCCCAGTTCCCCTTTTCATCCCTAAACACCCAGTAGGAGCAGGAGCCAGATGGCAAACTCTGTGCATTTTTCACACTCATACTTAGTAGCTGCATACAGAAATTTAACCCTTTGTGGTTGGAAAGGGGGTACTGACATGAGCCACCTGCTTCTCCTGTTTGCAGCCAGCAAACTCATCTTGTTTTCAGGCAGTTAAGTCCTTTGGAGCCTTCCAAGGTTGTGGCTATTAATCCCCAATGAGAGGGTAAGTACAAGGATTGTTTGCCTTCTATGTCCAATTTTCACTAACAAACATCATTATCAGCAATTTGCTCCCACTCCCAACAGTAATCCTTTTCCATTTGCAGTCTTCTCAGCAAATGGCATTAGGTCTAAAATTAGAGCATGAATTCACTTATCTTGCTTATGCGGTAAAACCTCAGAATGCAACAGGACGACTGGAGTGGGTGAGATTCAAAAACTTGGGTCTAATTTCAGAAGATGCTTGGGGACAAGGTGTTTGGCTTTGTGAAGCCAAGGTAAGCCTGGCTGTTGTGTACAGGACAGGTTGCTGTGCATACTGGAGATGTTTGCTTTTGGAGATCTTCATGAAAACACTTTTCTTAGAAGTGGAGGTTTTTTTCCTTTTCTCTGAAGTTGGACAAGGATCAAACTTATATTCATGTGAAAGCCAGCACAGCTCTTTAGGCAGTCCTAAATCTGCCCCTAAATCTGGCCCCTGATCCTAAATCTGATCCTAAATCAGAGATCCTAAATCTGGCCCCTGATGCAAAACATTTCACGTGAAGCACCTGACTGAGCAGACTCCTTGGCTATAAAAGCTGCCATGAATATGGATCAGCCAGGCAAGGCACAGCTCATTACTTGTCTTGCTGTTTGCCAAGTGGAGTCAGTCAATGAGTGGGACAAGATCCTTAAACCAACAATTCCATGAAGCAATTATTTTAATTAGTGTGGTGATGCTATGTATTCTTTTTATAACATAGGCACTAACAAGAATAAAACCTGTAATAGTGACTCTATCGAAGGGTGGGTTGCTGGACAGCCACTCCCTGTTTTAAAACCAGCAATAATCATAGTTATAGCATGTGTATGTCTCCTGCAGCAGCCTCATCCAACACATCTGAATAGATTAACTTTACATACAGGACCAAGGGTAACAAACTGACTGTGCTCTAGGGAGAGGAGTACTTTGCTCGCAGAACTGGAGAAAGCCCCTCACCACCTTTTGTGGCTGTCATTTGATGTCATTTCTCCAATAGGAGGAATAAGTCTCAGGAAAAATTCACTATAAAGGATAAGTGATAAGTAGTTGAAACTGGAATTAGGGTGTCAGGTTTGGAGCAAAGAGATTGGTATTTGTCTGTGCTCTACCTATACAATAAATGCTGCCGTGGGCAGGACACCAGAGTGAGACCCCACTGTCAAAGACTTGTGCCAACATCCCAGCCCCAGCAGGCTCTAGCTTTCATTTCATCCTGGGGAGGCTTGAACATCCCCAGCAGCCCTGGACCAGGCTCCCTTGCAGGTCAGTGGGAAGATGCAGAAGGAAGCAGAGGTTTCTCTCAGATAGGCAAGATACCGGCACTGTGACCCCTTTGTGACACAGGAGACAACGCTCACAGCAAATTTATGCACATCTTGGATTGTGCCATGGAAGAGGTGGGAAGGAGAGCATTGCTGGTTCTGTTATCAGCTTGTGACATCTCTGCTAACACCCCTCTGCAATGGACAGCTGCACTGTTTCTCACGTCTATTGATCTGCAAACCCAGATAAATGTTGCTACATCAAATGTACTCTATCAGCATGCTCAAAATGCTCTCTGCAACCTCAGCAGGTAAAGACTTTCCCTAGAATTAAACGATAGAGCATCTGTACTGGTTTACACCACCTTCCTCCACACATCGTATGAGCCTAGGCTTCTCTGTAAAATGTTTGGCTATTTCATGCTGCTATTGTAATATTGCTAATGAGTATCCAGGAACCCCGAGCTGCTTTTAAATCTGGTATCTCCTGATCGCTCTGTAGAGCTGCAGGAAATCTTTCTTTGCACAGCTTATCCCCAGGGTCCTGTCAAACCAGTCCCAAACCCAAACTCTCCTGAGTTATAAAAGAGTGGTTCTTGCTCAGGAAGGTCAATTGCAGCCTGAGGCTAAGCCCAAGTGTGGGACAAGGATTTCCCTTGATCCTTCTACACAGGCTGTCCCCACAGACCCTTGCCCAGCACACACCCTGGTCTGTTCTGCTGACTGTTACCCTGTGTTACCTTTCTTTCCAGCTCATCCTACATTCTCCATGTTCTCCCTTTAGCATCCTCCTTGGGCCACATCCAGTGGCCAGAAGCCACTAAAATCCTGTTGACTTCCACCAGTGGGGCAAGCACAGCCACTTCTGCAGGCTGCAGGAGCAGTTTCTCATCAGTGTAACAGTAAGTGCCCTGTAATCTCCCTCTCTGCTATCAGAGAAGAAAGCCCTATTTGCCAATACACTATATTTGAAGTGCAAGGTTTACAGAATTGGAGTGGTTGTATCTTAGCAACCACCAATGCATTAAGAAAGCAGCTGAACTGTTTAAACCTTCAATTAACACATCCACCACAAAGAGGCGACTCTCCTGTACAAGACACGAATCCCTTCCATGCATTCACCAGGAGGGACACGGCCACCTTGTGCACATCCACTCACCAAAATGACCCCGCCTGAATCTTCCCCCTTCCCCACATACATGACTCAGGTGCTGTTATGGCTCATACCTGCATCACTTGCCCTCTCGCAGAAAGTGAAGCAGAGAAAAGGCATCTTTTTGCAGACACCCTGAGGGGTTTTTATTGGTCTCACCCCCGTGTGAGCCAAAGCAACATCTCCAAGAGTTTCCAAGGGGAAATAAAGAAGTCCCAGAGTGAAAACTCAGAGTGACACAGGAACAGGACTGTGATTGTCCTACCCGAGATGCTGTGATGCAGCACCTATGACCTGATTTGTACAGCTTAGAAATGCAACCTTCTCCCTTCCACTGCAACACCTTCAATATCAGTCTTCAGATACACCTTTCCCTTAGTTCTCTTCTTCCACAGACTTGGGCCGATGGCAGACCAGAGACAGGCCCTGCACTGCACACCCCACACAACAGCTTCTGTGAGGTTTTCTTACCACCCCTGCAGCAAACCTGGATTTCATCCTGGACCTGACAAAGTTACAACAAACCCAGTGGAGCTTCTGCAAAAGTCAGTTTAGACAAACCACCATTTTCTGCCCCCAAAATGCTCTGTAAAGGAAGTCTCACCACACTATGTTCCATTTAACATTATTCTCAGCTACCTGCTCCATGTTGTGTGACGACACACTGCAGCACCAGGGTAAACCCCAGCACACTGCAAAGGGACCTAAAAGGGCATCTTCATTTCTTGAAAACAAATGGCTGTGAATAATCCCTCAAAGGGAGCTGCTTGAGGAGAACACTGAGGAGCAGTACAGAGCCCCTCATCCATAGACTGACAGTTGTTTGCACAGAAATGCAGGTCTTAACCTCTACCTGCAATCCATAACCAGCCTCTGAAGGGAGTAGGAGCACACATGGCATTGCAAGTGCAGGTATTTGTATAATCCACAGGCGCCATGGGATGAAGGAAGGTAGCCGCTATTGTCTATCTTGTTCTAAAGATGCAGCAGGAGAAACTTACTGTAATAATTACAGCAAAATTAAAGCAACAAAGGAATTCTACCAGGATGACCACCGATCGCAATGCTATATGAGAACTGCGGTATAAGGCATGTGCACATACTCTGTGTACCCATCTGTACTT